GGGTTGTGTTGAGGTGGTTGTGGGGGTGATTTTGAGGTGTTTTTGGGGTGATTTTGGGGTGTTTTTGGGGTGATTTTGGGGTGTTTTTGGGGGTGACTTTGGGGTTATTTTGGGGTGTTTTTGGGGTGTTTTTGGGGGTGTTTTTGAGGTGTTTTTGGGGTGATTTTGGGGTGTTTTTGGGGGTGATTTTGGGATGTTGTTGGGGTAGTTTTGGTGTGATTTTGGGGTAGTTTTGGATGTTTTTGAGGTGGTTTTGGGGTGTTTTTGGGTGTTTTTGGGTGTTTTTGGGGTGTTTTTGGGGGTGTTTTTGAGGTGTTTTTGGGGGTGATTTTGGGATGCTTTTGGGGTCGTTTTGGTGTGATTTTGGGGTAGTTTTGGTGTGATTTTGGGGTAGTTTTGGATGTTTTTGGGGTGTTTTTGGGTGTTTTTGGGTGTTTTTGGGTGTTTTTGGGGTGTTTTTGGGGGTGATTTTGAGGTGTTTTTGGGGGTAATTTTGAGGTGTTTTTGGGGTGATTTTGGGGTTATTTTTGGGTGTTTTTGAGGTGTTTTTGGGGGTGTTTTTGGGGGTGATTTTGGGATGCTTTTGGGGTCGTTTTGGTGTGATTTTGGGGTAGTTTTGGTGTGATTTTGGGGTAGTTTTGGTGTGATTTTGGGGTAGTTTTGGTGTGATTTCGGGGTAGTTTTGGATGTTTTTGGGGGTGTTTTTGGGGCGCCCCAGGTGAGCGAGGATGAGCTGGAGTCGGAGAGGGACGAGTACCCCCGCGAGGAGTACCGGGAGAAGTCGGAGAGCGGCGGCTCCGACTCGGGCGGGACCGGCCGGAAGCGGCGGCGGAAGCACCGAGAGAAGAAGGAGAAGAAAACCAAGAGGAGGAAAAAAACCGACGAGGACGGGGGGCAGAAGGTGAAGGTGAGGATCTGGGGGGGACAGAGGGTCATGTCCCCAGTGTCCCCAGTGTCCCCAATGTCCCCAGTGTCCCCAGTGTCCCCAATGTCCCCAATGTCCCCAATGTCCCCAATGTCCCCCAATG